TACATACTATATTTTTTAATGAACATCTGTGTTTGTCTCCTCAATAAAGCCACTACACGAGCTTCTACAATACTGTAACTAACCTCTTACTTTTACCCTTTAGTCTCACACAGGCTTTCTGCTACCAATTTCATGCTGGCCAAAAAAACTATTTAAACATGGGAATAATTGGCTTTTAGTAGCAGTGGGAACAGATCACTGACGCATGTCTAACCGGGTCAAATGACTCAGCAAGAGCCCCACATTAAAACCACCTCTTTTCTGATCTGCATGTTGTGGGATCACTAGACCAGGGATGAGCCACTAATTAGGTGACACCATTGAACGCAATGTATGGATGTCAACTCGCCACAAAAGTCGCTTCTGCTGAAACAAGCCGAAACAACTCTGTTTATATTCAATAAACAGCAGCCATTGTAATAGGGATTCAGACAGATACAAGAGTGAAATAATAAAGAATACTGACTACGCTCTGACTCCCATCCATGTTGCTCTCCATTATTTAATTCCCTGATTTTCATTGCAATGGTGACAAATCAACGCTCACCCAGAATGATGCCATCATCAGACACACAGTGGTGGGGTACATTTCAATGAAATGGGAAAGGACCAAAAGCCGATGGTTAGCAGGTCAACCCAGTTTGGGACAATACAAATCAAATGATTTGATTTAAAATTATTAAATATAACATACATGTAAATAAATGTAAATAGTAATGTCAATATTAAAAGCAGTAGTTTAGTATACAGATCAAAATAATGACTAGGAAATTTCCAGGTTTTTACATTTTGAGCTACTAGATTGTAATGGGGCTATAAATTAAGCTTCGGAATTTGGAAAAAAGGAAGAAGGAAAACAAGACAAATAGAGGAGATTGCAATCTGTTCAGTTTATGCATTTTCTCATCAACAATTTTATCCACCATTTCTTGTTGTTCTGTGATCCTTTTCACAGATTTTGTTTTTTATTCAGGACCCTCTCTCCCAGATTAAGTCCTATTGTTTCTGGTCAGCATCATTAAAAGCCTTCTTCTACGAAAATGATTGACCTGTCTTCATAAACACCCCACTCCATCGTAGCATAGGTGTTTTTCACTTTGTTTGTTCCAACCCCCCCCCCGAGACTTATAAAAAAATTTACTCTAATTTAAAATGACTGTCTTCCAGCCTCCAACCACGGTAGTGATGGACTGTTACAAGAGACTTAGCTCCTGCAGCACAAGCATCTTACAACATTTAAAGAATAGAAATTAATTTTGCCTTGACGGCAGGGGAGATAAATATGGATATTTTTGAAAGAAAATTATATGGAAGCGATTTATGTAAACATTTTGACTCTTTCAGTCTGTGTTAAAATTTTTGATCAGCAGATTAAAAGCTTGTTTAAATTAAAAAACGTGTTTTATTATTTTGCCATGAGTGTGTGGACTTGTTTTTGTTACTTTAAGGGGATAAAAGAAGGGCCAATCTATGTTAAATATGCTACCTTGTGGGGACATAAAGGTACTTCTGGGGACCAAAAGTACTTTAGGTCACGCGAATGTAAGGTATTTTCTTGTTTGCTAATAAACTACTTTGGCACTTTACCATTTGACTGAGATAAGTCATATCTACTTGTATAGAGTAGCTGGAAGTGTCATGATCACAGCCCTAATGTTTGTCTGTTTCTCCACAAGACACACCTTCTGTGCTCTGCCCTATTCTCATTACTAATCATCTGAGGCTTATTTCTGGAAGGCTTATGTAAGGTCAAAGAGTCACTATAGTTGAGTCAATAAGAGAGTGCACCCTCTGTCAATTCAAGGGTTATAGCCCACTAATTATCTGAACTTCATAAGTTCTAAAGCTATCGGAGTCTAAACTTAATTATTCCAAATCCCATCCTACAGATTCCATTCTGACATTTTTTTACCCAAGAATGAAACCAAAAGGGAAAATGTGTGCATAAGAGGTCAAAATGTAAGCACATCTCTTCACCTTAGTACGTAAAAAAATATGTAAAATAGCAGGATTTCAACTGGTTACTGGATAATGGTTTTGAGGATTTATCATACATCTTACATACATACAATGTATGTAGTTGAGACTGATGTTTGATCCAGAGTCTTAAACGTAAAGTGTATTTGGTTCAGAGAATTTTCTTAAATCTCTGGAAAGATTTGTTATGAACATGCTGATTTAAATAAATAAATCCATCTATGACCTACACCTATGTAACCTTAATGAGGATTTCTAAGGGGCTGGAGTCCATTCCAGCCTACAATGGGTGAGAAGCGAAAAAAAAAAAAAAAAAAAAACCTTCAAGGAACGCCTGAGTTGATCACAGCCTGTTTTGATTAAAAAATGGCATTATTCATATAATAATTGGGGTTAAAATGCTAAGATTTTTTTTAATGTTGTTATTAAATTTTTTCCTTAATTTAACTCATTCTTAATTGGCTTCAAAACGTATTTGTTATTTTTTATTTTATTTCCATGAATAAAGTATTTTAAAAGTATTCTTGAATTGTATAAACTGAAATGAATACATTTTAATAACATTAGTCATGAAAAATTTAGACTAATGTCAGTATGAGAAGCTTTTTTTAAAGTCTGCCAAACCTCATAAAATAAATCCTGGAACAGACGCTAAACAGGAAAGAGGACAAAGAAATTAGGTATAGAACACAAGCAAGAAAAAAAGCCTAGGATGATTAAGAGAAGGGGAATTACTAAAGAAAAGACTTGGAAGCAAAAAATCTATTTCAGGTGCAACAGAGTCAGAGATGAGAAAGATACATTTTCAATCTGTGTTGAAAGTGCAGGATGGTGTGCAAATGAAAGTAGTTGGTACGTGCAAAGCTGGAAAGCTGTGAGGTATTCCCAAATGTGATAAATGAATCATCAAGCTTAATGCCGATTCTTGCTGATAAACTATGGGAGACTTTTAGAAAAACTAATTCTGAGACTATGCTGTAGCCACCAGAGATTACTCTTTTACACTCTTTCAGCCAAATTTAGGGTCAATATTGAGGAGAATAATTTGATGGGAAAATTTTTCCCAGGGCTATTTTGCAATTTTATTCTTTGAGTTCAGGGAGGAAAATGTCTATAACAAATGAAAGAGGACGTAGCACATTTTATGCTATGAAAACTACAGAGAGCTCCAACAGTGATTCAGAGGCAAGGCTGCAGAGGTGAAAGTGAGTTTTGCAGGCGAGGGTGTTTCTCAGCATACAAAATTGTTTCTTTTACTGTCTTTTTACTTTTTATGACTTATCTATTTGTGGAAAAACAACATACAACTTTGTCAGTTGGTGCCTTTCTGAAACTAATTAATGACCACTCTCTCCTTACATTCCTCCTTCATGTCTTCCTGTGATAACTAGATACAGCAGCACTGTTGTTTTCGCTGAGTAAAATAAAAGAACCAGCCTGTGACTGCTGTAATAATGCTGTTTGAGTATTTTAACTTCCCAAAATGTGGTGTATTATTGCACATTTATGTACGATTTACATGTAAATAAATCAGTTGTCAAGTGTCACTTAAACCTACAAATGGTTCTATTAAGCTGCCATGGTTGTTAGGCAATATATAATAATTAGAGTCCAATTTCAAATTAGTTTCTGAATTTTGAGGAAGGTGTCAAACAATAGCAAAGAAGGTGACACAAGAGGACCCCTTGATAAAGTATATTCTCATAAGAGAAATAAAAATGAAACATAGCAATAGGGAAAGCAGGATGGAGTAGCTATTAAATACATAGTTGAAATTAAGTGAAGAAGATCCACTCTTTATTAAAATGTTTTTATTATTATTATTATTTTTTTTTTTTACCAATCTTACATTAGCTACGCCTTCTCATTCTGCCTTAATGAGTACCACTGAAGTTGCTCCATTCGTTGCATTTGGTTACTCATTAAGCAGCTTCCTAATTATGGACAAAATACACATGACAAATATATTTATTGCTGTGCATAAATGGGTTTTAAGGTTTAAATAATGTTTTGGGCCAATCTAACTGTAGATATATAGATGTTGATGGTCTGATCGATGGCATGCTCAAAAGAAATTGATCCATTATTGAAAGGCAGTCCACCATCAGAAGTAAAACTCAAAGTCATGATAAAAAGGACTTAAGAATGCATGGTTACATAATTGATCAATGGGTAACTATAGATGATCAATGAGTACCTATACTGGCCAGAACAGAACCAAAAGAAACAATGAGCTATCTCCTCCATAGTGAATTAAAGAGAGAATCATTTACCATAGACAGAGTTTGAATCCCTATGCAGGTTACCAGTTTTAAGGTGTTTATTTAATTTATTCCTTTTTTAATCATGGTGTCCCAATACAACTTCTTCTGATACAATACTTATGTTGCAGCTTTGAGAAATGACCGATAATGATATTAACCTGATAGGACATTAGAAATGGAAGCCTTATGCTTCTATTATTTATTTCATACATCAGAATGTTGAAAAAGTTCTGATCAAGCAAAATTCTTTCTACACAGAACAGTAGTCAACGATATATATAAAAATAACCCACCAATATAATATTAACCAATGGGTTACAGAACTTTAAATAGAAGAAAGGTTTCTATCAATATGACAATATTGGAGATATCTTAAATGTGCTTTGCACAAGTTTTTTTTTGTGTGTTTTTCTGCTTTTGAACAGGAAAATGACCAACAATGAACGACAGACACATACACAAATCAAAAAGAAAGTGTTAGAAATGATGACACATTTTCTTTCAACAATTTAAAAGGATGACAAAAATGTATTCTTCAATAGCTCAGCTTTAAGGATTACATGAAACATTGCTATTTGGGTTAAAGCTTGAGTTTAAAAGTATTCTTTGCTTTTGTGGAATATCAGAAACTCCAACTGGGTTAGAATTATAAGCACCATAATGAAAAAAAAACCCAAAACAGCAGAACGAGGGCATTCATTTTCCATCCAAATGAACAAAGTGTTATAGCCCAACGGGGGTGGGTTGATCTTTATGTAGCTCTGATTACATTGTCCCTTTACAGACCAAATAAACTTTAAGATTAAGCCAGAGCCAAACATTAAAATGGTTAGAGCAAGAGTGAAAATGGGTCACTTAATGCTCCATGTATTTGTTATTACCTGCTGGTCGATTCCCACTGCATCTAATCCATGGTACATAATGTTAACCCAGCCGTCTTTTGATGCCAGCACAAATAATGACATAAGAGCCTATGGAAAAACAAGCAGAACATATATTTACAAAAACCTTAACTCCCTAATGGGGCATATATATATATATATATATATATATATATATATATATATATATATATATATATATATATATATATATATATTTTTTTTTTTTT